CTCATTTACAAATTAAACTTTACTTCTGCTTTCGACCTCCTTTCTCCATCTGTCCTCTGCTTCTTAAAACACTTTGTCTGTCCTCCTTTCTTTCAAAAGTCTTTGGCAAATGCCAGAGGTAAGCAATTATTATCATTTACACCTAACATCACAGCAGCCTAATACCAAAGAGCTTACAGGTTTGCTCTGACAACCCAATACAAATGTCATATGTGGAGAACACCAAGATACAGGATCAGAGTCTCATCTGCTCTGCAACCTAGTGTATGAAATCTAAATAGATCGAAATGTCTCTTTGATACTGCTCATTTCTCATTCCCTCAAGCAGACTCCTTAGGAAATCTCATCCCTTATCACATCGTCGACCAGTAGCACTATTCATAGGGCAAGGCCATACACAAACATCCTGCTGTGTCCAACACCACATAAAATTCTCCTCCAACTCAGGTGGGTTGAGCTAGTAGTTTCTCCTGCCCTGCTCCCTCCCAGTCCATTTTAGGATCCCAGTGGTGCTCCGTGCCTCCTGCAATATTTCCAATGTCTTCCTCCAAACCACCCATCCCAGTAACAGCAGCACGTCCTCCCAACTACACCCTGCCGCAACTTGTAACTGCCACATCCTTTCCTCTTTCTTCCACTTTCCTCTTTCTTCCGCAGAACAAGAGTGCTCCTGTTGCATGGGAAATTGTCTTTCCAGTCCTTGCAGGTCTAAAGATTACTGCCAACCGATTATTAGGACAGGGTGCACTACAGGAGGTAACTGCAAGTGGAGGTCCAAATTGTTCTTAGTTAAACCAGGCACGTCCATGTGGTCCGTATACTTATAATGCCGTTAAGTGTCTTCAAGGAGATCTTAAGGGCGCGATTTCAGAGCAGGAGGCGACAGGAATACAGTACGGGCAGAGCATCTGGAGAACCAGATGACATTCACGTCATCTTTATTACTGTCTATGCTCATACTTAACATCCCAGACTTTCTCGCACACTGTATCGAGCAGAGGAAAGGGGGAGGTCAGTGAAACCTGCTACTCACTCAGAGATACACAGCGATGTTCTGCGCAATGGAACAGTGTTTGATCTCACATATGAAGCTTATAACTTGAGTATCTGCCATCCCACCACGATAGCATCCCTGGGTACTCCTCCAGCTTGGTTTATTCCACTTCCTTTTCTTTTTGCCTGTTGCAAGCCTCACTTCATCAGACTATTGCATACAGACTACTGAAACATTCAGGGGACACAACATCCTAGCTCTTCTTTCTTCCTTTCATTTTAGTACTCTGTTAATAGCTTTTCAGTGCTTTTAAGCCCACCACAGACCTGTTTCAACTGCCTGCAGACCTTGTCTAACTCCTGTCCATCCCAGTTCCCTAAGCTTGTTTAGCACTTGCCTCTTTATTGGTCTGGTGCTGGGGCTGGCCAAATATCAGGAGGTGAGGGCAAATTAAGAGAATCAAATACATTATCCAGTGAACAGTGCAACAGAATGTACTACCCATACAATCAAACAGTCTCCATCAGCTCATCTTAAACACCCGTGCAGCCAGACTTCAGTTTCTCTATCTGTGTACTATCAAAGCTCCTATTTCCAAATGGAAGAAAAAGTTAGGGAAAGTTAGCTAAACCAAACGCTGCACAAGAAGGTATGGTAGTGACATCACACATGAGCAAGACAACTTATTCCATGAGTTGCTGTCACATTTGTGGTAATAGCTTCTGGAGACATAAATTACAGGAATACAGTTCAAAAAGCAATCTTAGCTACCACCAGGAACAAAGCCAGATGTTAAGTGGGAGATACAGAAAGGAGCGTAAGGACTGGGTCCTGCAGTGACTGTTAAACACAGCGTGTGTCATATCCACACAAGGTCGCCAATGCTTAGTAGCTTTCCCTTTACAACTTAGATGGTAAATCCTATCACATCCCAGCTGCAACAAACAGTCCTCTTAAAAAGCAGTAGAGAAGGGGCATTCTCAGGGATGTTGTCCTGGTTTTGGCTGGGACAGAGTTAATTTTCTTCACAGAGGCTAGTATGGGGCTGTGTTTCGGATTTGTGCTGAAAACAGTGTTGATAACCCGGGGATGTTTTCGTTACTGCTGAGCAGTGCTTACACACAGTCAAGGCCTTTTCTGAT